TTAGGTAAGTCTGTACTAAATGGTGGAGGTAAAAATTTTATTAGCTTGCCAGAGCCATGACTGTTTCCTGTAGAAGTAGACAAAACCAACAATYCAATTTAACATGAACCTCCAGTACCTGACACCCTCTTGCAATTTAAATATTTGCTCTCTATCATTTTGAAATGCTATGAAGTTAATCTCTCACCGTTTTTACATCAGAACAGAAAAGAAAGAGAAAACCAAAAAGCACTTGCAATGCAAAACCAGTGACAAGTGGAGAGTGTCATGTATCATTAAAAAGTATATATTTGCAGGACAGCAAATCTTAACATTCAACACATTTTAAACATAGGTACTTACCTTTTTTCCTATTCCAGATTGCCAACACCACACATAGAACCAGCTTTACTACTTCAGAACACATGTTCACTGTTGTAGGAAGGTAATCATACTTGTTATCTGTAGAATTCAGCAAATCAGAGAGAGAATACAATCAGTTTCTGCCTCCCGTATTCATAATTAGACCAAGAATCTATTTTAACCACTACTGTCACAATTTTAGTCACAAAAAGCTTTGYCAGAACTTCTGTTATAAATGTTTCAATGTTAATGACCTACAACTTCCTGAATAGCCTCTTTTCTGAGTTGAAATCTTTCCTCATTTGGTCCCAGTTTCAAAATGGAACTTTTTTTGGAAGAACCCAAAAAAAAAAAAAAAAAAAAAAAAAAAAAAAAAAAAAAAGGAATGTTTTCCCCAAAGAGCAATATGGTATTTTTTAACCCTCACAAAAAAATGGCTCCCAGGATGACATAACCTTCTTTTAGGACTGGCAATACCAGTCAGTTTTAGCTCATCCACTATGATGCCACTTCTCTCCTAAGCTTGTTGCAAGAAAATTATTTCCATAAAACCATATACTGTCAATAGTGCTTACACAACAAGTTAGTCTTCAAAGAGTCATCTATAAAATAAATCACTGCCTCATCTTTTAAGGGTAGATCACAAACCTTGCAACCCAAGTTACACCTTTATGGTAGACCACTGGCTAGACAGAAACTTTTCAGTGCAGAAACACATGTCCACTCTTTCTTATTTAAGGTACATCATCTGTATTGCCCAACAATACCTTCATTGGCAGAATACTTCATCAGCAGGATTCGACTTGAGCCCAATGCAATGAACACTCCTCCAAGCAGAAAGGTCTGGCTGGTTGTCTTGGAGCAAAGGGCAAATCGACTACACCACTCCAACTTCATTCTGCTGCCTCGCTGTCAGTGCCCTTCAGATGGCAYGATAAAAATACATTATAAACAGTACTTCCAGAAACTCATCACACAAGGCAAAATAAGCATATTTTACTGCTTTGTGTTAATTTATAGAAAGATGCTTATATCATAGAACAAGCCATGATCTTGTTCTACAACTGCAGGTTACTATCTTAAAAAAAAAAAAAAAAGAGGAAGAATCGAGTTCAACCTATGAGCAAACACCACCATGTCAACTAGACCATGGAACCAAATGCCACGTGCAACCTTTCCTTAAAACACCTCCAGGGATGGTGACTCCATCACCTCTCCTGGGCAGTCCATTCCAATGTCTAATCACCCTTTCTGTGAAGAAAWTCTTCCTGATACCCAACGTAAACCGCCCGTGGCACAGTTTAAGACTGTATCSTCTTGTCCTGTTGCTGGTTGCCTGGCAAAAGAGGCTGACCCCCACCTGGCTACACCCTCCTTTCAGGTAAGGAGTGATAAGGTCACCCCTGAGAGAAGGATATGCGGCAAGGACCACCAAAGGGGGATAAATGTACACACAGGAGCCTTAAAAGTGGCACAAGGAGGCTGCTTCCTATGAAGTCGGCATATGGATTAGCTAAAAGGATTAAATATTTCACACGCCTGTTTTTCTTTAATATTTTTGAAACTGCCCTTGCTGCTAACCCCAGCAAGGAGAAGCGCTACAGCAGCGGGGCGAGACCAAGCCCTCAGAGCTGACCCGCCGCTGAGGGAGGCACACGGCAGCGGAGCCGAGCACCGGAGATGCGTCCTCCGCCTCCAGCGCCTCCGTTACTCGCCCGACCCGTTAACGGGCCCCGGGGCCTCAAGAGCCGGCGGAGGAGCGGGGTGGGGGGAGCCGCAGTGGGCCAGCTGTGGGCTGGGGTCTGTCCCGTGATGACGGTCCATCCCACACCGGCGGGGCGACCGGAGCGGGGGAACACCCACCTCRCCTCCTCCTCCGCACCGGAGGGGGAACACCCGCCGGGTTCTGCCGACCGCCTCCTGCCACGTCGCTGCTTCAGGCTGCAGCCGGGAGCGGCGGGGCGGCGGCCGCGCGGGGCGAGCGGGGCTCCGAAGCAGCAGCGCCCGGTGCTAGGAACGCCGCGGCCAGGCTCACCCCGGCGCACCGGGTCCCTGGAGGCTGCCGCAGCGGGGCCCCCTTCACTCATCCCCGCCGCCCACAGCCGAGCWCCCCCCGAGCCCCGCCCGGGGTCCCGCACGAAACCCCCTCAGCGCGCCCCCCCCCTCCCGAGTCACCCCCTCCCCCGGCCTCACCTGGCGGGGCGGGGCCGCGCGCGCGCCCCCCGCTTTGCCCCGCCCC